ATTGAGCTTCTACAAAGCTTGAACCTACAAAAGGAATACGTCTATGATAATTATGCAAAAAATCTAAGGCATACAGTTTTAAGGCTTCCACATTACCACTGTATATTGAATCCCATTGAACATGTTTGGCACCAACTGAAATCTGCCATTCGTCGTAACAGTGTTTTTCCCCTGTTAACTCCAATGTCCTCAAACTTAACCGAAGTTTTTAACATCCCTCCACAAAGTTGGGCAAATTCTGTTAATCATATAGAAAAAGCAGAACAATCGTATATAAATAATATCGAACAAATAATAATTAGAACAGGCGATGATAGCGATAGTGATACTGATATATTATGTGAATAATTTTAAATAATTTAAGTAGGTAATAAAAATAATTTGTAATTTTATTTTAGATTTAAACATAAATACATACATAAATAAATAAACATTGTTTAGTATCTTTCCTAACAAAACACCAAATAATTAAATTCTAAGCAAAGTACGGATCTGTTCCATATTTTATTTTTACAGCTTTCCCGGGTCTTTCCTTAATTCGTATCAGATAGCCACTTTCTTATATCTATGAACAGACTTTACCTGAAGAAGTTTATCAATGTATTGAATACGTGTATTTTTTCTATCACAATTAGTTTTGGTTAATTGGTTAGTTGGATATTACATTTTTTTTGCTGCAAAAGAAATTAATGTAACGTTTGTCAACGATTGGGCTCAAACTATACTTATCGCCCTATCCTAGACTTCATTTTACGAAAAACGGAAGTCACCTCCTCCGTCGAATTCCAATTTCAATTCAATTAAATGTTATAATAATATCGAATATTGCCTGAGAAACTTAAATCTAAACAAATTCAAAAAATGAAAATTCCATTTTCTTACTCTTCAGACATTACAAAAATGTTATGTCTTACTTGATCAACGCCATAATAATCGATATATTTCGTACCTGCAACAAAACTGGGCCACGCTGTGTATTAAATCAGCAACAACGTGATTTGTTTTAATTTTATGTATGGTCGATATTACCTTTTAAAGGCGCTGAAATACTCAATACCCTCCAAAGTTAAAAATCGTGATAGACAGGTAACAAGTAAACAAACCTGTATATAACTTAAGGTGTCCGACATGTACATTCAAGGGCGGAATCTAGAAATTTGCAATTTGCCAATGTCTGGTTTGATTTTGACTCGATAAGCTTCGAAGCAGCCTACGCGTTTTACCAACCTGATTATGCAAATTGTTGGAATACTCTTTGAATTATAGTTATCAGTGCAATAAAATGGATATGATAGCTCGCAACTCTACGACCATAGCGATCGCTTAATTTGTTATTAAAGTAGTTGCAGAGTGTTCCGCATAATTATCGGATTTAGCGCGATAGTATTCCACACGGTATACGCGACGATAAGATTGTTTCTGACCTATTTCGTTACAATGTTGTCGTCTTGGAATTCTTGGGATTTTTTATTTTACAGTTCAATGAGACATCTGGCGGAAAAAATTTGGGAAGTAAAATTTCCATTGTTTCCTTAACGATTCCATTATTAAAGAAAATGCTTATCGGCTCCAAATTAACACTTTATTATTTTACATTCACTGACATGGCCGTCAGAATTGACAAACGTCAAAATTCAAGGCGTGGGAAATATCTCCGAAAACATCCGATTGCTCCCAAACCCGTGCGGTAAAATCCCGGAAATGTCTGAAGTGGCTCGGTTCCGTGGGAAACGAAACTGACGTGGTAAAGGTACATTACAGACGGGAGTAGAAAAATAGATTTCATCTGAAAATTCGTCTTGGGACATTTTGCACAAACCTTACCCCAAAAAGGGAAAGAAAAATGCTTTATTGCCCCTTATGCAGGTTCAAAGGTTAACATTTAACATTATGAAATACTTCCTTACGACCATATTTTTTTACTGTCAGCAGCGCAACCATCGGAGAATAAATTCGCTAATTTGGGTGGGTATGGTCTGTTCATAGATATAAGAAAGTGACCAATTTCTTTTGAACGGATTATCCAAGAGTGGTCGTTAACATACAATGCAACAAGAATATTATCTTTAATTAAGAAAATTATTAATTAATTAATTATTAATTAAGGTAATAATCTTGTTGCATTGTATGTTAATGACCACCCTTGGATAATCCGTTCAAAAGCAATTGGTCACTTTCTTATATCTATGAACAGACCATACCAATTTATCCTGAAAATTGCGTTGTTCCGTAGCTATTTGCAGCGTTTCAATTTTTGATCAGTTATGCAAAACGCTGTACGAGAGCGACTCAAATTCTCAGAATCTCGTGCGTCACCCTATACATTTAAGGATGGTTTTAAGAGCAATCTTCATCAACTAAAAACGTATATTACTGACTTCGGCGAGTTGGTTTCTGCACGCAGTGTGGTCTTCGCAGTGTGCGGTACGAATTCTGGACTCTCTCGCCTTGATACTGTAATTTGCTGAATACAAATAAGAAACATCCGCTGCCTCACGAGTTAAGGATTAACATGTAAATTTACGGGATCACTGCAACGCTTTGTTTGGTTTTTACAGTCCATAAAAGATTTAGTTTCAGCCACTGTGCACACAAAAAAATTTCAGGATCGACAAATGGTTTTTTTTTGTCGACAAAGACTAAATTTCTCTCTCTTTGCTGAATTATCAAAAAAATCTTTCGCGATAAATACGCCTACCGTCTGCGAGACCATACACATAAACACTAAAAATGGAATAAACATTAAGCTAAGTTGATTTTGACGACCAATTTGAGTTTACAAAGAGCGATTTGACACTGGAATTGATAAACCGCTCTGCTCTATTCCAGGCTGCTTATATAATTAAAAATGCTGTGTCAGTGCTGCTAGCACTTTGAGTTTAATTATTTTAATCAAGAACGGTGCTTCTGCATCAGAAAAATATCAATGGCGTACCTTTTTTTTTCTTCAAAAATATGGCAATCAAATATCAAATTTCCTAGCACAAAAGTTAGGGCGTTTAAGGCAGGTGTTTATTATAAAAAGTTCTGTAGGCCTGAAAAAAACGCAGTTTTTAAATCGGGATTTTTTTTTAACTCTGTGAACTAATAATTATTGCTCTTGACTGAAGAATAGTAAAAGGCCTGTCGTAGCAATACCTATTTTCTGTAGAAAAAACTTGCTTCTGTAAATAGACATTCAAACATTTTTGCAAACCTATATAGTTACAAAAATAGTATTAAATAGTGTCAAGAAGCTTACATAAGGTCAGATATGCGCTCAAGACAAGTTTTTGTGCTACCTTATGACATTCAGAGAACTTGCTGAGCCCAAAATCAGAAAAATTTCTTGAATTAACAATTTTAGCTATGCAAATCACGTAAAACACAAGATAACTAAATAATAACTTCGCTACTTATGTAATCTTTGCTTAAAGATTTAGATACAACCACTTAAAACATAGAATATAAAAGGATTTTAAAATACACACTCACACACAATCCATAGAACGAAAAACTGTTGTAGTTAAAGTTGTATATTTGGTTTCAGAAGTCTCTCCTAGCTTAGTTATAGGCGCTTTGCAGATGTTCATTTTAAAAGAGAATTATAAAAGGCACAGTTTCAAATGATACTCAAGTGAACAACTATCATTAATGGTGGAGGTGCAGGGGAAATTTAAATTATGCAATATATTTTAGCGCTCCAACGTTTTATTAAACCGTTATATAACACCGCACATTAAGGAGAAGAATCTCCACTCTTCCGGCTTCTTCATATACCGCAGTGCGGATGGCACAGGCAAGAAACTGGGACTGGAATTTGAGCAACCAAACACAATTTTAACCGCGACTCAGGTTTTACCAATATAGGATTCTGCTATTCGAGACAATGGTCAATGCTCCTCCTTTAGCCTCGCCCCCCTTGAACGGTATATAAGAATGTACAGAGTAAAATGCGAGCCAATTTTATTTAAGCTCCGAAGAAGCCAATAGGATTGGCGAAACATCAGCAAGTTCGATTTATCAACAACCGACGCAGGATGAATCCAGAAGATTTGTAAATGGTATCATTTACTTTAAATAAGAAGCAATTTCAGAAAGATATTTACTGAAAAATGAGCTATGGGAGATTTTAAATTTCAACTAACCTCTTTGGGTACGAAATTTGTTTTCGACAAAATCCCTATATCACTGTGAATTAAACCCTGTACAATTGTATGCGTTCCAATAAAAAGGTTTGATGTAAAGAATAACGCTACTTTTAAAATGAGGGACGTTGAAGCCCTTTTGCAAGATGAAATAAAGACAGTGAATTTAAAAAATTTGTGAGTTCGTTGAACATGTGATTAAAATGGAAGAAACAATGTGGGATAACTTGCTTAAAAAGACTGTAGAGCACCCGCAGATTTTTTTATTAAATTCTATATAAGTTCTTATTGACTGGATCTTTGAAAAATGAATATCCCTTATCAATTCTCAATTATTTGGCCATCTCTATAATTATAATGATGTATAATTACTAATTTAGGAACGATTTGAGGTGTGTAGGTCTTAAAAACTCAACTACGGAAATTATTAGACGCTATCATTCCAATTTATCTTGTTTAATGATCTCTTTCATTGCAAATTTACATTTTATTATTCTCTCGCATTAAGCAACGAAATATGAAGGAGCAACGAAAGTACATAAGCAATAAGAGTTGAACAACAATTTTGGCTGTTTCTGCATGCAAACTCCCATAAAAAAAATGTTAGGTCCAACGTAGCGAAAAGTAGTTGCTGAACTGTAGGTAGAACACACATTTTATATTATACAATAATTTTATGTATTTCATGAACTAATCTAAAACAAACTATATCATCTATGATATTTGGATATGTTAACTGCTGTGATCGGTCTTAAATTCATTAGTTTTGTCCCAGAAGTTTTGCTGTGGGCTCATCGAATTGTCTAAATGTTCAATTTTTTTTTCGAAGCAAATTCTTCTTCTTACCCCACTAAGAGACGCGTTTTTTTATAGGTTCCAAATGACTTCCGAACAAAACAATTGTGGCCTTAGTTCCATACTCCCAATATCCTGCCGGGACAGAGCAGAGGCGTTCGCAAGGAGTCTTCAGTCGCGCCTGCACTCGTTAGGAACCCAAACGAGTCCGTCGAACGAAAGAAGTTGGCTCGGACCCCAGGAGAAACCCATCACAGTTTCCCAACCCCTTCACACCCTCGAAACCGAACGGTACCTGCAACTCGAAGCTTTAGAATCGCCGGGCAGCCCGCAAGACGAAGAAAACGAATTCCACACGCTTCTAAACAGGGACAGCTTGCAGAATGGCTGTCATTGCAATCTGCAGTCGACACCCAACGGTCTCCCTCGGAACACTTCCAACGATAGCGACAACGAAGTTTTCTACGATTTGGACGACGAATCTGCTTCGCAAAACGGTTACGGAAATTCGGAATCGAGCCGAAGTTCGGAGAGCGAGACCGGAATCGACGTAAACTCGCAAGGAACTTTGAGCGACGCGTTTTGCACGTCGCTCGATTGCACACCTCAAGCGTCACTCAGCGACGACGTTTCCACATTAAGCCGCAATGAAGACGATAGCGACAAGAGCGATGAGTGTTTGTTAAAGGTAATCGACTCTTTGGAGAAATCTTGCAGGCTGAACGGTTCCGTCGATAAAAGCGAGGAGGAGTTACTAAGTGTGAATGGTTTTAGGAACGGAGATTGTCAAGACTGCGGAGATGCGGTTGAAAGTAACGATGAGACTGATTATGTTAGACAGAACGGTGAGACCGACAGGCCTTTTGTTAGTACGCTTAGTATAGACATCCACATGTCCGTGGAGTGTCCCCAGGACAACGAAGAGAAATGTCGTGAAAACGGGGAAGTCTATGACGAGGATCAGGACGATAGCGCGACCCCGAGAGTGCGGAGATGTTCGTCGCTGAAAACGGGCAAAACTCCGCCGGGAACTCCCGGACGAAAAAAGATCGTGCGCTTCGCCGACGTTTTAGGGTTAGATTTGGCCGATGTCAGAACGTTCCTCGACGAAATACCCAAAGTACCTAAGTCAGCTTACGACGACTTGAACGACGTCGATTTAATATCAGATTCGGCGACCGACTTGACGTCATTAAACCCAAAGTATCACGGCCTCAAAGCCGATAAGATATTAGTGCCGATGTTCGATCAGCCCGCAGGGATGCCGACATTTTTAGAACTAGTCAGAGATAACCTAGTGTGTTTGGAGAACGCGTTCGTCGACGACCCCGTGTTATTTTCAATCAGGGGTTTCGTGAGGGTCAGAAATTTGGATTTTCACAAGTCGGTACATATCAGGTACACGTTAGATTCTTGGAAGACTTTCGCCGACGTCCAAGCGACGTACGTGAGCAACTCCTGTGATGGATTCTCGGATAAGTTTTCGTTTATCGTTTACGCGCACACCCTGAAGGTCGGCCAGAGGCTAGAGTTCGCTTGTCGGTTTCAGTGCAGGGGGTGTCAGTATTGGGATAACAACAATGGGCGCAACTACGTCTTCCAGTGTTTGCCGGCAGCTAACAGTGCTACTTGCCCGCCCATTACGGTACATGGGCACGACGATTGGGGCGCCAGTTTTTACTAGTAAGTGTCCCTTACTAATATGACTTTAAATTTGATAAAAGTCGTGAAAATATGCTAGCGAGGTTAAAACGCATAACCTATAACATTCGTAAAGTCACATATAACGTATACAAGTCCTCAACCTTAAATATTTATCAAATACCGTGACCATATAATCCATATATAAAAGAGTTTAAATCAATTTAGCAATTCCCACCGCCTAGTATTAATTTTATTGCAACACAGATAGACTTCAACAAGTCTATGAAGAACAATATACAGGGTGCGGCAAAATGATAGGTACTATTTGGGATGTTAATAAAAACCAAATTACATAAAGCAAACATTTTTTTCAAATTATTATTGAAATGTACATTTTATGCCATTTAGGAACGTTATTTTTTAAAAATTATGTCTTGTAAATGACGGCCATTATTGTCGATGCACTCTTGTAGGTTCTCGCGGAAGCGCATTATTACCCGATGGATCATTTCTTTCGGGAATTGAGACAATTTCTTGTCTTACGGCTGCCTTTAATTCTTCCAAAGTCTGCGGACGATGTGTGAAAATCTTCGCTTTCAGGTAACCTCAAAGAAAAAATGTCGCAAGGCGACAAATCAGGCGACCGTGGCGGCCAGCTAAGATCACCTCGTAAAGACATCACTTTGTTTAGGAACATTTCTTGAAGAAGATTTATTGAACGACGCGTTGTGTGCGATGTAGCACCATCCTGCTGGGACCAAAGATGTTCTCTTTGATCGTTGTTCAACTCGTTCACTTTTGGACGCAGGAAAATGTTAAGCATATCAAAATATCGATCTCCGTTGACTGTTACCGTTATTCCATCGTCTTCGAAAAAGTAAGGACCCCACACGCCGAACTCCGAGATTGCACACCAGACGGTGACTCATGAACTTCCTGTGGACTATATGCTGACCAATAACGGAAATTTTGCTTATTTACGGTATCCGAGAGGTGAAAGTGAGCTTCATCGCTAGACATGAATACAGCGCCTCAGGGAATGTTTTGAAGAATATGCCGGCATAAATTTGTACGGGTTTCTCTTGCACTACGATCATTTTGTACGGATGCATTTGGAGTGAGTTGTGTCAAATTCTTCGAACACTTCTATCGGGAATTCCCAAAGCAGCTGCATGCTTACGAGCTGAACGCCTTGGAGACTGGTGTACGGAAACTCTTACTGCATTCACATTTTCCGGTGTTCTTACTGTCCTTGGTCAGCCAGTATATTGTCAGTTAAGCGCAGAACCTGTTTCCCTGAAGTGTAAAACCCACCGACGAATTGTTCTTGCATCCGGAACCGCGCCATGCCGACCAACATCAAACTGATTACGAAAGGCGCGCGGCGTCGCTATTACAGATTCCTCATTTCTAATAAACTCCTCGACAACGAAAGCACGACGCACTCCGCTCCAAGCCATGTCGATAACTGAAAATTGCATACTTTTGTCTGCCTAACGCGAGTGCGTACACAGTGTTGCCGGTTTTACAAACCGAACAACCACTATTTGAAATCCTGCCTACCTTTTTGCCGCACCCTGTATGATGTTTTCCCCCAAATTAAAAATTTATTCAAGGGAATAATACTTTGAAATCTGATAAGAGAGTTTATCATGTGTCAAGAACTTTCCCAAAGATCGTTGGGGATAAATTTGCTTTACTTCTCTCGTAATCTCACTCACGATTTAGACAGTGGGCGTGGGATAAGTTCAGTATGACACGCAATATTACTCGATAGACTTGTTCCTAAGTTTTAACAGTAGTGCACTAAAAATAGTCTCTTATATGCATCAAAATCTTTCCTTTTCTAAAAGAAATTCGTGTATAGTATAACCGATGGTAACATAATTAGACGGTTTTCTAAAAGGAAGGACAAAAGACTTCTTTGCTCCGAAAGTCTCATATGTGTCTATAACTCATTTGTATTCGGTAAATTTATGAAATGACTTGCTTTCAAGTCGAACATAACTGTTGTTATTCATGACCACAGTCTTGTTAGATCGGAATTTAAAATAAATGCTCTAAACAGAACACTTACGTACAATTGTAAACTGTCAGATTTACTCTCTAACAATTAGCTTGCTAGGTACCAGGCCAAATTCTCGTACGGCGTTCCCCTATGATTAGGTTACGGAATGTTTTCAACTCAATCAACCAGTCGATATATTTCGCAGTGTTTATAGGTGTTTACCATTCTTTAATTCATCTAAAAAATAGATAAACGATTCAGTGCAAAAAATTAGTACGATATAATAAATTAGCTTGATAAACATTATGATATGTTGGCAAAGTGGCGTTGAAATTCCTCTTCTCTCTTTAGTGTAATCTGGACGACCAAAAGGGCTCCATTTGCCATTCGAATATGTGATGACGTAATCGTACGTCTTAGCTAAAAAATTTTGGTCTTGACGCGGCTTTTGACATGGATTTCCAAACTGACAAACAAAATTTACTAGCGGACGAGGCGAACGCGATTCATGTATTCCCGTAGAGGCCGTGAAATGTAACATCAAATCATCATTATCATACGATGGGCGAAATATGAAAAATATATTCCTTGTTAGATTTGGTTGCCGGCTATTATACTGAGAAGAGCAATTCGATAGTGTGGCATAGATCATAAAAAATATTGGGTCTTAAGATAACGAACGGACACCTTTTGTTCTAGGAAATAAGTTGCCGGAACGATGACATGTGTAGGTTATAATAGTTTTATTTTTTATAGAATAATTTGCTCTGTTCTTTATAAAACGTGAGTGAGAAGTAGCTTGCCTGTTTTTTTTTTCATTCAAGAAATTCTGCTAAAGTATTAAACTCTATGTGTTCTGTTGTAATTTCAATGTTATATTCTATTTTAAAATGTATTAGAAGCTTATCTCTAGGAGTTTGAAACTGACAAATAGAGCAACGATGAGCCGTAGAAGTAACTATTTCCTAGGAAAAAAAATTGGCAAAGTGTTGATAGAAGATAGGTTTTTTGATGGTATGCAAAGTCTTTCAGTATATTAAAATTCTTATTACAATGTTTACACTAATGTTTATATTGTTTTCTCGGGGCTATAATGTCAACTGAATCTCAAAATTGAACACTGTGCTTAAAGACAATACTTTTAGCTTTGGCTTTTCTTACCTGGATGAAACTTTTTTGCATGTTTTCCCAAATTGAAACGAGCACTGAAGGTTTGTTCACACTGAGAGCATTTAACGCTATCCATTTTCAATAAATCAAACACAAATTAAACGAAAACACCAGAAAGCACAACAATACAAGGAATTACAATCAAAAGAGTCAAAAGCCGAAATAAAATCGTAAGTATCAAGAAATATCAAATCATGTCAACCTTCAAAACAATCTGACATAATAAACAAGTCTACCCGCCAAAACTCTCGGTTAGTTTTGTTTCAGTTCGTTACAGGCTGCCAATATCGGGAATGAATATATCGCGTTCTCCCCATCCGCTAGTACAAAATTCCTGGGTCAATTTACGATTATCCAGTAATGAATTGCTCTCAGTGGACTATGCAAGCAAGACGGTAGAATGGCAATTTGACGTCCACCGGAACGGAAGAACTTAACTTGCACAATCCAAATTTATTTATGGTATATAAATAAAATAATAGAAATAAAAAAAATTTTCAGTTAGTTAATTATACTAAAATAAATATCATTTTAATGTTAACCTGTAACAGACAACCAAATTTGTATTACTTGTTACCCAATGGTTTTTCTGAATATGTATCTGTTTCTGCGTTATATGGTATTTTACTTGTTTCTGCAGAGCTTGATAGACAGTTTCTTCTCGCTGCAGTTGCTATACCCTTAAGACAACTGCGAAACCGTGCGAGACGTTTAAAAAAATATATAGACAGCGCATTTAAGTAGTTCCGCCTGGTCAGTAATTTTCATCGTTAACTATGCGTTATTGTTGCGCATTGGGGAGAATGTTTGGGTTTAGATGTTGTGCGCGAAAATTGCGGCCCGGCTACAAATATGTAATAATATGTTGAGCTAAAACAAAATGGAAATATTTTCAACCTTTGGGCTTCACCGATCGAAGCAAATGTTAATGGTTGTGTTTTATTCCTGGCAGGCGTTTTGCATATCCGTCTGCTTGGATATAAATTGCTTATTATCACGACATTGCCGAAAATTGAATACATATTATAACAGTGTTAACCAAGAGCGTCTAGGATTATTTGAAAATCCTGCTTAAATTTGCATAATTCGTTTCAAGTGCCAACGAGCACGGATTGTTAAAAATTTTTGTTTTGACTGCATTCCATTTTGTTTTCAAATAAATTTTCTGCTGCCACGCCAGTACACAATACCAAAGAAATTTTCAATTGTAAAAAAAATTTATGACTTATTGATAATTTGACTTTGAATTCTGAAATATCGCTGGCCGACTTTATTGATGTATTTGAATTAGATCCTCATTGCTAAATTAACTTTGGAAAGGAAAGTTTTGCTTATTATTTTATTTATGATTGCTAACGAATATCAAAATTTTTAAACGTATTCTGCCAGTCCGGAGATGCAAGGGTAGCGTGGGATGCGATTGGTAGCTGCAATGCCGTGCAGAAACGGCGCTAGTCTCGGTCTAGATATATAGTTTATGGCTTACTCAGGATATTCGTATTATTTCAGGAACGTCTCGCAGCGTCGAAGCTAGGAATCAAATCGAGCGAAGAGTACATCTGGTAGAGACATGTTTCACGGAACACACAAATAACGCGGTGACCAGAGAACCACAACAGATTCATCGGAATCTGGCAACGATGCGGATATTTAACAGCCTTCCGAGTGCCGAGGAAATTTAACCGACATACTCGCAGCCCAGCAACTCTCTTGTTTGTTAAGTCTTATTTTTGTTTTTATTTGTTACAGAAAGCAATATATATATATTTTACGAGATAGTATTTTTACAAGAAAGAGTTTAAACCATATTTATAATCGATACGAAGTGTTACTACTGTTTAGGAATCTTAAGAGTTTTATCTATTTGTAAATTTTACGTCGCTAGGACTGTATTTTAGGAATCTTCCTTCTGTTTTTATAATAAGTCTATGCTGTCCAGAAATAAATACTCATATTTTGCTGATGTTTTATTTAGTGCAGCTACATAAGAAGTTTATGATTCGAATGTCTTATTACTTTACTCCGCAGTAAAGCATTTCCATTTTAATTTAATATTTTAGAATCCGCACTGACTTTTTAGGGATAAGATAGAAATCACTACCAGTAAAGAAGAGCCCTTGCTTAATATAAGATGTTTTAAGCAATTTTGATCATAAAACCCTAAATCATCAAAAACTGACAGAACAATTAATTTCGCTTGGATTCTAAGAAACAATCAAACAAAGGAACAAAACTAATATATTCCACATATTGAGTATAGGAGACTACTTGTTTTGAATTTAAATACGTATAGGACAATAAAAAAATCCAAAACTTTAACGTTCAAATATTTGATCATCGTAGATATTATTTAGAGTGGCGACGAATTAAAGTTAACTTCCAGTGATTGGGCTTCATTTCTTAGAAAATCATAAATTATGATCGTTTTAAAATGACTTTTAGTTGTGTGTTCACAAATAAATGTATCTTAAAGAAGTGTTATTGCCAAAAATATCTACTATTATACTGCGCCCTCTGCTGCCAGTATTTTGGAGTAACTTTCTAAGCTTTTCTCCATGTTTCATCCATCATGGCATAGATGGTGCTGTCAGTAGAGTAGAATTTAACTGCATGGGCAATTGCGCGTAATTCTTTCGTGTTTGTTAAACCTTAATTAAGGTTACATTGCACGTTTGTAAAATTCCAAAGACACTTGCTCAATTACACTATAAGAATAGCCAAAATTGGTGTTAGATGTTTATTGGTGTAAAGAAAAAGTCCCAAGCACTTACGGTTTTATTGGACCACAATTTCTTTTCGCAAGTATCACAATTGTTTTGATGATTCTACAAAATTACTAAAAATGTTTGTACCTACATGATCGATGAGCGATGACTTATTCCTATACACGTAGCAAATATAAATATCTAAGCGAATCCTACACGTTAACGTTAAATTATCTACAATACCATAATAACGAACACTTAAAAACAAATGTCACATAAACCTTAGGTATTGGCAAAATTGCAAGTCTTGTTTCTTGTGTGTTTTCTCAGAACATAATGAAATAAATAAAAGTGTCACCAAGTTGTTTGCTCGCTAAGACTTGTCCAGCTTTAGTGCCAAGTATTGTTTATGAAGCCTCTGTTTGCAGAATTCGTAGAACTCAATCTCCTTGGTGAAATTGGCTCTTACGATATTCTTGACTTCTTCGCTCACCGGCGGTTTGAAGTTGTTCTTGTTGATCGGCTTGTACCTGCTTATCTCGTCTGAAACAAAGGAAGTTTGTTATAACAACCAGCAACAAAGAGCGTTGCGGGCGATTTGGGACGTCGTAATTTTAATAATAGGCACTTCTATGCTTACTCCAGTAGACATCGGACGCTCCCTCGAAAAACCTGGGTATGTAATGTTCCAGCACTGTCAGAGTGGTATTCATTTCCTCTAAGACGCCCACCACCGCGTAGTTTTCTTCAACAGCTCGTTTCGCCCTTTCCAAAGCACCCTCAGTATTGAACGGAAGGCAGTCTACGTGATGGCCACAGAAAAACATCGACTGACGTCTGTGGTCGCCAATGCCTTCCCTCACCTCGCCTCGTATGTAGCGACACTCTCGATCTCCAGATAGCACGCAATGTTCAAAATCCTAAAATTTAAATTATTGAACTTTTAAATTTTGAGTATACCACAATCGCTTCAATTCTTCAATAGTATGTGACATTTTAAACCTTAACTACAATAAATACACAATAATGATGTTGGGCAGATCTAGTGTAGAAGTTGTGATATATAAAAATTATATTTGCCAAGATTACACATCGATACTGCATACTGAAGCATAATAACTTTACTAAGTTTACTTTCGCTAGGGTGTGTTGAAGTAATCTTATTTTACAGCCATTAAAAAACGTACTAAGTATTATAGCCGATGTTGCAGATTCTCATAGGCTCCACCGTCATTGGTGAACGTATTCATATTAAAATTTATTACACTAGTTACCCAATAGTTCCCAGATCATTTCGTTATGTAAATCGTTACGTAATTAGGCGTGTCGAAGATTCATAGCAACCATTTCCGAAGCTATTTTGTGAATTGGTACAAAATCTAATTAGTTTACCTTCTCTTTACTTTTACCGCATCGCATTAGCGAGAGAATGAACGGTTCATTCGAAGCTCTCAGATATTTTCCTCACTTTAAGTTACCTTTTTCAGCCATTTCGGGTCGGGCAGCGGAATGTCCGGGAACGCTATTTTTCTTTCCACGTAATACCATGGTGCGCGGACGTAGTAATACCACGATATCACCCGCTCCACAGGATCCCTTACCAGGTTAATATAGATCGGTTCGGGCAGGCCAAACCTATAGCGTAAACTGACTTTGGTGGATTTCCCTTTACCCGTTTCTAGTATTTTCTTACGCCGAAACGTTGGTAAAGCAAACGTGCTTGATATAGACAGACGGCGGCTCATAGCTTGAAACTAAACCGGAGAGCGCAGCTTGATCTTCAGGAGCCAATCTTATGGTTTCAACTCTCTGAACTCGGTCCTGGTGAAACCCAAAATCGTTCCTTATGCTGAGCCTTCTGAGTAGTTCCATGAGCGTTTGGGAGCCTACCTTCGGCACCCTATTGAAAAATACTACGTCGTGTTGCGCTTTGCGAGTATTGTTAAGTTGTTGAGGTTGCAACGTTGACATCTGTAAAAAACGTCGTAACTTATTAACTTCGACGGTTTGCATTAAACGGTTTTACGTACTTCTCCGGTACTTTGTAAGAGCTTCATCATGGCTTTCACTCGCGACGATTCAGCTGGTTCACTGCTACCTACGATTTTCAGGTAAAACCACGCTGCGAAGGCGATCTGAACTTACCAGTCAGTTGATTTGAAGGCACGACGTCCTCCGGTTGCAGTCTTACTTCCATTTCTTTTAATTTGGTGTTCAAGTCTCGCGTGTGCAGAAAGAGAAACAGTGTTACGGAGACCGCCATCAAGGCTATGAGCTCGCTTGTTCTGAAAATGAGAGAATATATGCATCAACAAAGCCACAATCAAGAGTGAACAAATTATTCTAAAACTTGTTACAGTCCCCAAATAAATTAAGTGAATGAATTAAGTGAAGTAATAATTGTAAAGCTTTATCTAGGTTGATTTCGCTGATATAATTTCACAGCTTCGATAATGGATCCCCCTTATCGGTTGTTGCCCCCTATTTGATAAAAATTACACCAGACCGTTTCTTCCACCTGTATTCCGTGTTTTCTTCCACTCCCGTTAACCATAGATGCTTCTTTAGTCCGCTTTTTTTTGGGTTAGTAGATCTTCCATCATTGATAGAATTCTTTTTTCTGGTCCTAGCTTGCTTAGCCTTGCCTTTCTTACCTTCATCGACATGAATTTTCATCTGTGTTGCTCACAATTGGTGACATAGTTTATAATATCCTCCAGGGTCTTGTTCTATTTATTTGTTAAGTTAATTTTTATTTATTTATTATTTATTGTATCTGCTCCTAGAAATTTTTGTCCTTTTTAGTGACACATTCTGTTGTATATTCTTAACTTGTTCTCACAGAGACGTATTGCCGATAGAGGTGGGTGTAAACACACGACATTAACATAATTTTGTAATGTGTATGTAAATCATATGTAACACCAACACCGATGAAAATCGATGGCCCACTTCCTTCGAAACGAGAAATTATAGAAAGAAAGCTCGTAAATGTTTAAATCGGACCGCGAAAAACGGGACAAAGCGGCGCTAGTCCGAGAGATAGGCAATAATTTTAACAACGAGCAATTTGACGAGTTCGGAAATCGATTTGCAAGTTCCCCCAGAAGGGAAGTGATTAGGTGAAGATTGTCTGGTAAAAGTGAATTCTATTCTTCTAACATTAGAAAGGTACGGCAAGCGCTAACTATCGGTGTTGAGACTTTGTTTGCATACTTATTAACAGCGGCGTCATCCAGTAAAACGGCTTCTTTTAAATGCAAATTTTTATTGTTTGTGTTTTTGTTTTTCGACTAATCAGTATGTGAGACCGTATGTACGATTCAAATGCTTCTATTGACCTAGTGGAGACGATTTGGCTTACTAACCAAAACCGGAGAGGTTACTACGGAGGCAATACATGAAACTAGGAACTGATGTTATATCGTTATACATCACATTTATTTTCCAATCGAAGTGACACTGACAGTGTATCCGTTACTAGGACAATTAATTAAGTGAATCTGGAAGCCACCCTGATGCCGAAAAGATATTTCGTTCGGTATAAATCGGATTGAAAAAGCTATTTTTGTCAAAGTATAACCTGACGTCTCTGTGGTCCCTACCTATCAACCGAGACCCCTATGAAACAATCATATTTTTGTGTCCCGCAGTTTTTGTCATATTTGTAGCTATTAAGCACGGTGGCACGATTTGGCAAACCAGCAGTATGGCAAATATTATTGCCTGGCTTATCGCTGTAGAAAAATAGCTTCAAAAAATCAAATATTTTAATTTTTTTGGTATTTGTCTCTTGTCTTGTCTCTTTGTCATTTCAATATCACCCTGTATAGTATTTACTTTATAAAAATGATCCATTCTATTTAAAACCATTTCCTTTATAGTTTCGAAAATAGTTTTTTCTAAATTGCATTTTTTCGAATTTTGTTATTATTTTATTATAAAATGGACTATGTCTGTGTTGTAAAGTACTTTTTAGTTATCTGTTAAAATAAGATATTTATGACATAATAATGCAAACTGACTGGACTAGAACTTACGTTACAAGAAAAGCATATCAAACTTTTGAAAGAACCAGCAGACAATGTTAACCCAATGAACTAATATTTTTTGAATCGGAAGATTGAAATATCTAAATTCGAAATTGTTAGTTCCCGAACTGAAAAGCCAAATCTATAAACGGTTATAAAAAAATAAATCCTAAATAAAGAAATAATAAATATTGAAATAAATATAATAAATACAGTTCGGGGCAGAATTTTCGATTGTTTAATAATAATTAACAGCGTATCATAGGAAAATGATCTATTCTCCCGAATTATTGTATAAAACTAGCAACATTTAGTATTAGACATTTCGTAGTATTAAATATATTAGTAAGGCAGGGAAAAATTACCTTTAACCTAAACCAGTCATATTAAAAATATTACTCTGGCCCTTGCGGACTTTAAAATGGTCGAACTCAGTTACATTAAAACTGAAAGAAAACAAACCAAAACTTTTTTAAAAATTTAAACATATTGCTTAACGTAATGAATTATCCCGCAAAAAAAGTAATTTATATTTTCCCAAGAAGTTTTCCAGAGAAAAAAAACCTTTTTATTTATTACACATACCGATGTAATTTTGTATATCGTTGACCTCAATAATACTTCTTAATAATTTTCCATAAAAATTCTTAAAAACATACATATTTATCAAACTCTTGACTGGAACCTTCGGCACTGTACTAAAACTGGAGTTTTAATCTTCTCCTGAAGATGCCAACTTGGTTGGCGAAACGCGCGTCAAGTACGTAAAATTGAGTTTCGGTTTGTGGTAAAACGCGTTATTGTGTGATACATATTTATGTTTGCACAGAAATATTGTTGTGTTTTTGTATTTGAAAGGAAACATATGAAATGCCAAAGCAAGAAAACATTTTTATGTAACTGATTTCGGCTATTCTCTAGAGCGAACATTAGTTTTAATGTTACTGATTTTTGTATTTGTATATTCATAATGCCTTCTAAAAGACAATACTACAATCCCTATTTATGTAAATGATTTCGACTAAACGAGAGTTGAGCTTTAATTATATGTTTCATAAAATTTATTTATTTATTATTTATTGAGACGATTTTTATTGCGCACCTCATCAGTACCCATTCCTTTCGATAGAAAACATTTACGATTACGAATTGTTTGCGGAGGATACTTTTACTTTTGCTACAATTTTAATACACTCGACCTTTGAAGTCTTGAGATTTTTTTTCCAAATGCGCGACTTTCACCGGTTATCATCGCAGCGGGTACACAAAAATCCGCTTCGGTAACGCAATACATCCATTAAAAAGAAAAAAAAAAGGATGGCAATTGTGCCCGTGCAGTGGACAGCTGACTGCTTTCTCTTATTGTTCGCCGGGACTATACCGGAATTGTTATTGAAACGTGATTGGTCATTCGGGTTGGATTCTACAATATAAACAAAACTACGCTCGTTAGATTTAAATTATAAGAAAATACAACAAAAAAAGGGATTGTCTACCGAAATTCCTCAGATCTTAAATATATCAAATATACAGGGTGGATGAGACATAAGATCGAGCATTTAGTTATTTATCTAAGCGATGACGCACAACCGACCTAAGTATATTAGTAGTATAGTAGTATATTATGCAACAAGTGCGGTAAACGGCACTTAAAAAGTTTGCCAAACGTGTTGCATACTATACTCTTTCTACGATTCTTAGTTTTTGGGTACATTTTTGCAAAACACGACGAATACATGACATGACCGTCAGAATTGACAATACGATTGCTCCCAAAGTCGTGGGGTAATATCCTTGAAATATCCGAAGTGGCTCGGATCCGTGGGAAGCGAAATTGACGTGTTAAAATGACACTTTCTGCACTCTAGATCGGTGTAAAATTAGGTGTTTTACAGAAGTAGAGGAAAGTAGAAGTAGTAGAAGAAAAAGTAGCGGTAACCTTGATATTTTAAAAGGGCACGCAATATACAGGATGTTTAAAAAATATACCCGATGCCTGGCGATTTGTCATCCAAAAAAAAAAGAAAAAAGTTTTGTTGATTTGCTTGGAATTTGGCAACTAGATTAAAATTATAAGAACCAGTGCCGTCCCAGGAGGTATTCTGATGAATAATATTGTCAAAAATATGTACGCCACTGACTTTTTGTATTTTGCAAACTACGTATTTACGATTAATTTGTTTTTCTATTTTTTGGATGACGAATCTCCAGTCGAGCGTTGGCGCATATTTTCTGAATCGGCCTCTACATTATTGCATTCGCTGCTCCGTCATCTCTTTCTGACTATTTTTGTATATTATTTCAGTATGCTTGATTTTAGCGGTTCTTACTATTTATTATTTATGTAATTATGTGGTTTAAATAATTATTTTTTCTATAGTATATCATTTTGAAGAGTTTTAAAATGTTTGTTATACTACTGTTGCAATGTTGGATAATATATAGGGTGATTAATAAAAAAAGAGGGGCGGCGACTGTGTCGAGATTGCTCTAACAAAGACCAATTCATTATTATGGGAAATAAGAGTAACTTTGGCTTAGGGACAAGCACAATATCAAATTGAACACTGTCTTATAGTAAAGTTTACAGAATTAAAATATAAGTTGCTGGCCGCTTCCCCTCCACGTGTAGTTTGTAGCAAATGGTTTCCAAAAGTATGATATATTTATAAATTAATAATATGAAGCACTTAAGATTATTTTTATTTTTACATAGTTTAAAATGAAATTTTTTAAACAAATATTTTAAAATAAAAAAAAATGAAATTTTGGTTTTATAATTAAATTTGTTTTATATTATTTTTATGTAAATTTATTTACAACCTTCCGTTACATCAAATTAGTACCGGTTGAATTCGCAAGTACGATATGAAATTTTGGTTTTTTTTGCCAACCTTTAACCTTTCAGTGTTAATTTTAGTTTGACTATATATGCCTTTCTTATTTTTGTTTTCTTCTGCACATACATATATTTATTACATAAATGTACCAGTCGATAAGTAAATTCGGCCGTTTGTTAATTTTCCAGGAGAATCTTGCCATCAGAAGTGAACCTGGTACTTAATTTCAAAGGAGGAATTGAAAATTTCTGATGGCGATTTCGAGCTTCGACTGCGACTTTCTTCTAACGTTATATTAGCGTATCTATGAGTGCCTATAAATCCAAGTACATTTTTCCAAGCGCGAACCCGCAAACAAGGACGAGATTGAATATAGTATATAAATATATCGGTAAGCAATAAAATCAATTGAGA